GTTCTGAGAACCCTTAATTCCCACTGACAAGAGCAGCAGTTTAGGGTGTTCCCAGCAGGAATTTAATAGGATTGTGCCCTTACTTCATTTGGCCTGGGTAAGTCCAGGCCAGTCAAGTGAAGAGACAGTAATCAAACACGACAATATAATGACAAATAGGGTTACATCCCAGCAGGCATGTTATTACTTGCAGATGATGAAACATACCTGGGTGTGAAGTCTGTAAAAAAAAGGGACAGATTTAAGAATGCACTCTTAGGGGTTAAATTTGTGCATTTGAAAAGGATATGTCTGTATTCAACCCATGCAAAAAGATCTGTAAAAGGCATCATGAACCCTTTATGACCCCAGATTGTCATCCTGTGTGAACAAGTGACAGAGTTTCCATTGGCAGTTTGGTCCCAAGAACTTCAGTGATTTAGGCGACCTCATGAGGGCTGTCTGCCTTACAAAGGCAGACAGCATTTCATCCAGTGTTGGGGAAGCATAAAGCTTGAGTAGAACATGCTGAAGTTTCCTGAGCAGCATTCTTGTGACTTGAGAGATTACAACAAAATTTGAGGTGGACAGGTGAAGACTTATCAGTACCCCCCTTCTGGTATGCCTGCAGTTATATAAAGGAGAATAGTGTTAGATGCAGCCAGAGGAGAATAAACATCGCATTTTGGCTTATGATGCTTCCTTTAGTCAGAGATGAAATAGTATTCTTTTTTGTTGTGAAGTGTTACAAATGAAGTAAATGGGTAAGGAACATGGCATTATGTTAAGCACTTTTGGAAGAGTGAAAAGTTAAAATCAATCTTTGTGCTGTCAGGCTCTTAAGTAAGGAATGATGCATTAGACAACATGACTTTATTAGATTTGTTAGGAAACCAGAGCTGCCGTGCTGTTCCTTGAGCAGAATTACAGGCTTCATTTGAAGAGAGATGCAAAGCGCACACATCATTCTGGAGTAGATCAGCATAAGCATTTTCTATATCATGAGTAATGTTTGCTGGAAGAAATCAAATTACTGTTACACAGACCATCTGTTTTCTTTGCATGCAATCATGTAAGTGTTTTAGGACAAGCCATCCTTTTTAATCAATTGTAAATCTCTTATCGGAAGGCACTGTTTTGTGTAATAAAATCTATTTTTATGATAAATGTAAGAGTTTTAAATACTGGTTTCTTCTGCATAAATATATATTATGTTATGAACATATTGTTCAAAACATAAAGAGTAGGGGTGTACAGCATTAGTTATTATCTGTCAAGAACTTAATTTTAGGGCTTTTGCAATGCCATTTTTGGATATTTGTTGGATCTGCAACTCATTGGTGTTCAACTATTATAACAGATAATGTAATGAGTAATATGGTCCATTTATAGCCTGGGAAGTTGCTTCCTATCTACATTTAGCAAATGTAGTATAATGGAGTCTCTATTTTGTAGTATGACTGCTTTGATAAAAGTGAGTACTATGGAAGATGATTGTCCATTGTCTAAATTCTTACACTTGGAAATACTGAAGAAAACAAGGCATGGTTTATTAGAAAACGAGCCTTTGGTATGACATAATGACATTAAAAAACTAGAATTTATGGTTCAAGAAGAAGTCAATGATAGAGTCTGAGAATTACGTCACATTTAAGGGTAGCACATTCACAGATGTACACAGTCCCATTCATTTTAGTGGGTGCTAAATTGAGCTTACCATTTTATTTCTTCAGCACTGCTGTGCACTTCCCTGATTCATATATTCTCTTTGGGTGCACATAGATTGCTCTTGGATTCAGAGGAAGTTGAAGGTCTGCATCTTAAGCAAAGTCTTCTCTGATTTCAAAAGAAGCTGTGTGACTGCAATACCAGAGGTTACTCTGTATTGCATCAAATGACCCTGAAATAAAGAAACAAGAACTGTAAGTAACACAAATGGAAGGTCCCTGAGCAGGTTGGCTGTCCTTCTCAATGAGGTTGTCAAGCCTGAATTTCATTTGTTCAGACACTTTCAAATCAATGGTATTTTGTCTGAATAATTAAGCTGCTTACTCAGGCTTGAAAAGTGTATGGGGGCAAACTCTTGCACTTTTTTGGTAAACATGAAGAGGCAAAGAGGGAGAAACAGATGGACCATGCAGCTGGAGAAATGATAATGCTTTCAGTCTGGCGCCATCCCATGGTACAGTGGAAGTTTTTTGCCCAGGGAAACATCACATGAAATGAAGGGTCCCTATAAGTCCTCTTGCAAAGGCTGGACTCATGACCTGTGTATTGCCACTTATTAGAATGTCTCATGAACTGCTGCCTACCAAACCAAGCTCATCAATCATAACACTTACTTAGACCTGATCACTCAAAAATCTGATGAGAACTAGGTTGTCAGTGAAATTTTTTTTTGTCCGTCTACAGTAATTCAGTACAAGAAAAAAAACTGGAACAAGGTGAATGGCTTACAAAATCATGTAGGTAATAGAGAGTGAAAGACAAAAAATCAAACTGCAATTAGTAGTGGTCTAGTAGTTTCACCCATTTGCTTTTTTTTTTTTTTTTTAATTCAATATTCTTTCTTTGAGAAAATTATTAAAAAATAGATAATTCCCACATACACTTTTACCCTTCTTTTATACAGAGGGAAGAAAACTGCAGGCAAATTGAGTATGTCAGAGAAACGCAGCATTGTGTTGGTTAAAACAAACCTCTGGAGTGCATGAACAGTGTTCTAGCCCAGGCAAGAAAAAATTATGTAATAGCACTCACAGCCATGCTCAGCTGAATTTGGAGGATGGCCATTCACCAGCCTCTCCCAACAACCTACTCCTCAGTCTTTCTTTTCTTACCCTAGATGCTCATCTGGTTGCTTCTTATGTTCCTCAGTGTTCCGCACCCATTTCAAATCCAACTGAGCTCTGGCTTTCCCAGTTTCATCCAAGCAGGCCAGGACAAGGAAGTTCTGCATTGCTCCCCAGTAGCCCTCACAGCCCCTTCATCCTCTGCTGCCCATCTGCTGTGCCTGCATGAGTTCCCACGTGGCGAGCTGGGAAGTCCCAGTGTGCTGGGGCGGGTGTTTTCTGCCAGCAGCTTCTTCTTCTGGGCCCCTTTGCTGTCTTGGCTTTCAGGAGACACATTTCAGTTTGAGCTGTCAAAAAAGTTGATGAAAATGCTTGGGTTATATTTTTTGTGTCATTCTTCTTACTTTCATCTTCACATCCCCAAATCTTTATCAGGATAATGTGAAGGATATCAAAACAATCTATTTCCACAAGGTTGTTTTTTTTAGGATGATTTTTCATTTGCATGTGAGTAAATTTACTAGTGTTTTTTTTTTATCTTGAATTTTATTTTTTTTTTAGACAGAACTCTGAAACAGTCACTGTGAGTTCTCTAGCAGCTTCAGTAGAATAGGTACTATATTTTCCATCTGTATGGTCTGGTTTTATCCAATAAAGATATTGATGTATTTACAATTGTCATAGAAGATATTGGCTGAGTTCTAAGACAGTAAATGCTAACAATACTCCTTGCAAATGATGACATTTTTATTATCAAGAAACAGTTCAGCAAAATTACTTTATTTGCTTAGTGGTAAAGACAGTGGTAAACTGTGAATTACTGTTGTCATAGTTACAGTGTATTTTGATACAGTAGATTTGTTCATCTAAACCATAACAAAATAATTTGTTCACTAGCAAGTACAATGCATATCAGAAATTACAATTAATTACTTATTGCAGTGAATATCTTAAAGTATAAATACAGAACCCCTGATCCTTTTTAAATGCAGTAAGTAGAGAATACTGCTGTTTATTTTAGGAATTTCCTGTGTCTGTAGTGCTGATTACACTGAAGTGGGAATCAATGACAATGTGCCATATAGGAGACTTTATTTATAGTAGCTTTATAACTGATCTAAAGTGAGACGATAGATTTTGATACTCATGACCTTTAATAGAAAACTCTCTGAAGACAAGTTTCCAATTTTACTTCCAAAGTAACCCCTAGTGAAAGTCCTTTATATTTGAGACTTTGTGAGACAATTAAAATAATGACCTATTCTTGGTTTTGCTTTTTTTTTTCTTCCCTGAATTATTTCTATTTTGGCTATTTGGCTATTCAGTTGGCAAAACAGAAAAATTATCCAGGGGAGATCTACGAAGTTAGACAATTTGCCCTTTTCAGGTTTTTTATAATATTTTTAAGCGTAGCATGTTTGCTTTTCTCCCCTTGACCTATCGCAGCCCAGTGGTTGTAGAGAGTATCATCTGTGCATGTGTTCCAAATTCTCCTCTTCCGCTTCTTTACCAGATGCACAGTATTTCTGAAAGAAATGGAGCAGAAAAGTGCCATAGACAATTATGAAGCTTGACTTTGAACTGGTCTCCCTCAGCTCACTTGGTGGTACTGGAAGGAAAAGAAGGAAACAGAAATGATTGATCACAATTTTGAAATATATTAGGTCTGACCGGTTTTTCCTTAAAGAGGAAAAGTCTACAGGTATTCCGAAAAAATCAGCAAATAATCTTTAAAGAAAACATTCTGGAGTGAAAAACGAGTAGAAAAGTTTAGAGATGGTACAGGGAAGAGACTATGTGTAGAATGGTGGGATTAAATTAATATTTCAGAAAGGATCTTGGCCATTGCTGTAATATCTGAACAGGGGGAGAGAAACTAAAAGTAAATGCATTTAACATTGACCAAAAATAACCCCAACTTATTATTCACCAGTTAACTCTGTTAGCTCTGTTAACTAATGGAATTAATTGAGTAAACCACTGAAAGCTCTCCTCACACATAATATTTCTTTACAACTAAATAGGGCAGCATAAAATGTTCTGGCCCTTACTAAACAATAATCTCCCCAGGCTGCTTCTTTATAAACCAGTTCTTGGGATTTTTATTCCTACATATTGGCTACTATTGAAGGCAGGAAGTAGGAGCTACTTGAATTACAGAATGATTGGAAATGTTTGTTCCAGTGCTTTCATATGCCACATTTGGTCTCTATGTCCTCTCTGTCACAGGTAACCCCCTTACACACAGAGCAAGAAACATAAAATTACTTGGATGTCCTGTATCTCTAAGGAACCTGATGCATGAGTGGACTAGAGAAGGGGAAGACAGAAAAATTCCAAAGACCTACATATCATCTTGCTGGCAGGGTGAGTAAATGTCCTGTCATCTCAGTCATTTGTTGTCAGGTACAAAACAACTGCTTTAAGTCTGCTTTAAGTGTTGCCTCAGAAATTTCTTATCCAGTAATTGTTGAGAACAAGACGATCAAAATGTCTCATGTTTCCAGGGCTCTGGTGCCCCACAGGCATTCAAAAGCACTAAGCCAGACACCTCCTATATTTCAGGTTAAGCCTTGAACAGGGATTTAATAAATAGGCAGTTCTATGTAGTAGGGTTTTTCAATGCACGCTGTGCTGTTAAGGCTTTTTTCAATTTGGGTGGGTGAAACAGAAAAATCTAACTATTACTGAATGAGTCCAAACTCCTCATGTTTCAAAAAGAGATCCAAAAGAGAAAAGAAAGGAAGAAAACTCATTTTCCCAGTGCTGACTGTACTTAAATTCATACAGATGTGGGTTTGTGCTCTCTACTTTCCCTAGGCAACTTTTTCTTCCTTACAAAACACAATGGAAAAAATTACCTAGCTGAGAAGCAAGCATACAGTAGCCTTAAGTGATAGTTAGAACCTAATTAAATTATCCTCTTTTCTCTCTGGGTTTACCTATTCCAAAGGTGATAGAAGAAGAGACAGCAGCAGGTTCTGGAGCATTTCCTCCAGTTCAAAGCAGTGAGGCAGGGGTTCTGTCAAGTAGCAACAAGCCAATTCAAGAGAATCAAGAGTTGCATGTAAAAAGGATGACTTAATATTTCAAAAGTTGAGGCAAATTGAAACAGATGACTAACATGGCAGAAAATCCAAACAAAACTTGAAGATTACCTGAGATTCCTCTGTCTGGTGGTTTGTTTCTCTACAAAAGACATAACAAAAATGTTGCCCTCCTCCATTGGGAGGGCTGATGCTTCCCCACTGTATTTGGTCCTGCTCATTTCTGCACCCTAAACATTGGCAAGGCCCTGTATGCTTCTGACCTCTCTGCTGGGGTGAAAAGCATGAGCACAGAAAATCCATCTTCCCTGCACCCCAGGCCCAGTGGACACTTCCTTTTTAAAGGAAGATGTAGAGCAGCTGAGTTACAGTTTTAGCTGTGTGAAAGTCCACCCTGACTAGGAATTGTAAGACAACTGGCCAGAGCCTTCAACACAATAAAGCAAATAAAACAAAAAGTACTCCAGAGGACAAACACTTTTCTGTCAACTGTTCTCTGACAGGGAAAGAAATGCCTAAAGGGACAATAGTACCTTTACAATTGCTACTATTTGATGTGTTTAGTATCATATGTTTTTTTCTTAGCATATAAGCAATATTTTGGCTCTTTCCTACTCCACATTCTTTGAGAGGATCTGTCTGAATGCGAAAGCTATCTGGACTTTGCCTTATGCTCCAGTTAGAAGAAGGGCGAATTTTGCTATTTTTGCTTTTTGTTTTGCTTTGGTTTTGGGATTTTGGTTTTGGTGGGTTTTTTATTTTCAGTAAGTACTCCTCTGAGTGTGCTGGAAGATGGCTTTAGTGTACAGAATTTTTATAGAAATTGGGTAATTCCCTTGCCCACTCTGAACCCAAAAGCAACAGCATCAACCAGCCCTGATCTCAGTCGCTGGACTCTGGAATCGATAGGAAAAGGTGTTCATATGCTGGGGAGTCACTTTTCTGTTCTAGCAGCTGCTTCTTCCCTTCTTGTAGAAAACGCAGGGGTGCAGATACAACCTGGGGGTATAGGTTTGTCCATACTTCACAAATAATTCAGTGTCTTCTTCAGCAATGGAATGACATTCTCTTATTTTAATACAGTATTGTACTTTCTAAGCCACCACTTATTTGCCCCCCCAGTTCTACTTTATTTTATATAATATCTGTGCAATGGATATGGGCTTGATGTGTTCTGACACAGTGATGTCATTAAATGAGGGCCATTGTGACTGAGAGAAATAAAGGTGTTCAATAAGATGTTGACATAGTTGAAGATTGAAGTTAGTATTATTTTTATTCTTAAAATCATTTCTATATGTATTGCATTTTCAATTCACATATAAAATAAAATCACCCTCAAATTAAAATCCTACTGATGCTTCTTAAATGTTACTGCAAGGAAAATAAGAAGGTGGCAAATGATTAAATGTATAATTAAAGGTTTCACATTTAATCCTGTCACTGTAGTGATTTATGGTTTATTATTTTGTCTAAGTAATGCACTTTTTTTTTTTTGGTGTTTTTTCTTTCCTTCATTGTTATTAGTGTCTGTATTATTACAGTAAGGAAATTTATCTCAAGGACAACACTTTTGTTCTTGGCAGCAAGTACAGAGAGTTAAATCAATGCATAGAAGATGCAATACACTTCCCACTGCAGTTGGTGGGGGAATTGTGACGTGTTTACAGTGTTGGGCCAGAAATGCTTTACTTGTAAGAACAAAGGGCAGGATGTAGCCTCTGTGCTTCTCTGCTGTCATATTTAGGGCTGAAACAGGTGTCCTTAGTAGCCAGTCCCAGGAAGGCTCAATAAAGACATGGGGCTGGGACACACAATCTCCCTCTGTAGTGCATGCCAGAATTGGGTGGAAACCTGCAAACACAGCAGAAACAGCCTTGAAATAGCCCATAGCCAAGGCTGAGCAGAGTCCAGTGCCTACAGGCTGTGGAGTGCAGGCTCTTCTCCAGAGGTAGGTCCCCATAGCAGGATTTTTTAAAAGGACTCATCAGGCTTTGTGGTCACCATAGCTGCCTGACAGATATGTGGGACCTCACTATTTTTGGCATGAATTGATGGCTCTTCCCTTCCTTTCTAAGTTGCCCAGCCACTGGGCTGTGCTATCCTCTTGCAAGGCTTCTTGCAGCTACGTGAAATTTGCAACTTTGCTCCAGCAGGGCTGTAATATGACTGGTGGAACAGTCCCAACTCCTGTTTTCCAGGCTGGCTTATAGTTCTGCTGGAAATGGGGTGACTATGCTTCCTCGGGGTGGGGAGAGCCTGGAAATCCCTCACACTCAAGTGAGTGTTCCAGGTTATGCTTGTGTAGTATAGGATATTACTTCTTCCATCTACACCCCAGAAAACAAGCCTGGGTAGATCTGAGATTTTGGAACTTAGGTGCTGTTTCACTGTCACATGGGCTCCTGAACTTGAGATGAATACCTTGTTGCTGAGGTGGAGTTGTTTGTGGGACTTCAAAGGCAGAGTGAGAACTGAGTTTTCTGATGACAGTTTTCATATTCAGACATGTAAATTTTTATGTGCTCCAAAATTCCCCTTGATCAAGAACCCACTTAAAGAAATAAGATTTATTCTCTTACCAACATATGGTACTAAGATTCTCCTAATTGAGTATTTTCACACAAGAAGTGTTGTTCCTTTCCAGAATATTGTAGGATGAAATAGCTTGGGTTTTATTTCTGGTTGGGAGTTTGAATTCACACTCATATTAACTTCACCTAGAGCTGTTAACCTGAGCAGAAAAACTATGTTGTCATCTTCACCGTTTTAACCTAAACATGACTAGTAGATACACTTCACAGCTATGTTTAACACAATTTAATTATGCTCTGTTGAAGGTATTGCAATTTACATTCACTGCACTATTCTATAATATTATTGTGATTCTTCATATTCTTTGTCTCACTGAAAATACAGGGGCCATTTCTTTTAATCCTCCACAGCAATCACAGTAGAAACTTTGGAGAGATCTTTACAGAATTGTAGCTGAATAAAAAGCATAAAAAATGAATTTTCTTGAGAAATGGTTATGTAGAAAAAGACTTCTGTTTTGTCTTTCTTTAGTATATCTCTTTGTCTTTTGAACAAGTTTTTCATTGCCCTAATATTTTTCAGCTATTGTTTCTCTTTTGTTGTTGTTCCTTTTCTTTTTTGTTTGTTTTAAGGTTGGTAGCCAGTAAGAACATGCTGTTCCAGGAAGTTATAAGAAGTCATAACTCCAGTAGGGCCTTTCTTAATATTTTTTGAGGCTGATATTGCTGCTTTTTGAGCAAGTGTGTGTTTTAGGTAAAGACTTGTTCACATGAAACTCATCATTTTTCCTCGAGTTATAATAGCTAGTTTAAGATCTAGCAATCTGCATTAGAAGTTCCTACTAATCTAATCAATCACCAGACCTTTAATTGGAAGCCTGGCATTTTCCCTGCCATCACAGTCCCCATTTGAATCAGAGGTCACTCAAAATTTCGTAACAGCTTTCTCCAGATCTCGCTGATTTAATTAGCCATTAGTTATTATCTCTTCTTCAGAATAATAATTAAATATATGCAACAAACCTAGTCCTACAGAAGTACTGTGTTTTACCATCTTATGCTGATGATACAAAACTGAGGGGAGTGGCTGAATCTACCTGAAGGCTGCGCTGCCATTCAGTGGGACCTTAATAGGCTGGACAATTGTGAAAGAGAAACATAATGAGGTTCAACCAAGGAAAGTGCAGGGTCCAGCCCCTGGGGAGGAATAACCCCAAGTACCAGTATGGCCTGAGGGCTGACCTAGTAAGAAGCAGCTCTGCGGAGCAGGACCTGGAAGTTTTGGATAACAAGTTGACTATAAGCTGGCAGTGTGCCCTTGTGGTCAGGAAAACCAATTGTATCCTGGAGTGCATCAGGAAGAGTGTGGCCAGCAGGTTGAGGGAGGTGATCCTTCCCTTCTGCTTGGCCCTAGTGAGGCTGCATCCAGAGTATTGTGTCCATTTCTGAGCTACTCAGGACAGGAAAGACAAGGAGCTACTGGAGAGGGTCCAGTGGAGGGCTGCAAAGATTGTTAGGGGTCCAGAGCATCTCTATTATGAGGAGAGACTGCAGTAGCTGGGCCTGTTTAGTCTAGAGAAGACTGAGAAAAGATCTTATCAATAAATATCTCAAAAGCAGGTGCCAGACTCTTCTAAATCACAAGAAGTTCCACCTCAACATGAGGAAGAACTTCCTTACATTGATGGGGGCAGAGCACCCTCTGCCAAGCCCATGGACATTGTGGAGTCTCCCTCCCTGGAGACATTCCAAAACCACCCAGACATGTTTCTGTGTAACCTGCTTT